AATTTTGACTTCCAATGATTCACTTCCTGCTAAAGAGCCCCCTGCTGGTTGGAGAAAAATCCACATATAAGCCGCAGCGGACTATAAGCTGCATGGCTCAAAGCTAAGGATAAAAGTAGCGGCTTATAGTCCGGAAAATATGGTATATGGCAAAAAAAAAAAAAATCTAAATGCTCTCTGGTATTGTTCAGGGGGCTGCACCAAATGTGGAGGCGGGCCGGATCCGGCCCACGGGCCTTAGTTTGGGGACCACTGATATTAATGGTGAAGAAAACAGGAGAAGACTGGATTTGTTTTACATCGCAAAAATACTGGTATTTGAAAGCCAATGTAGATACTAAGATATTAAAGCTGGAATATGTAACTTTCATCTTTATCCATATATGTTAAAACTGTCACCATGTTGTGACAGTATGAGACAGATAAACTGTGAAAAGATCGATCTCCTCCATCGCCTCCCTGAGATACTTTTGCCATCTGAAGAAATTAAACTCTCCTGGTCAGAAACAACCAATCAGATCCAAGAGGAGGGGCTTAGTGCTGCTCTGTGCTTCTGTAAAACCAGTCGACTTGGACTTGCCAGCGTCGCTACGAGAATGAATACCATCAGGTCTGTCAGTGTGTGTGTGTGTGTGTGCGTGTGTGTGTGGTCCTATTCTGCTGTATCTGTGTTTCCTAGAACAGGCTGTGGACCCACCGCACTCTGGAGGCAAACCTTCACTTAGCAACACTCAGCCAACCACATGCATCCTGGCTCGGTCATGAAGAAGCTGCTGACCTCAACCTACCTCACTGCTACCACACACATCTGACCAAAGCCTCCACTTCCACCAGCTTCACCAAGAGGTCAAACATAAATCTGGAGGTTTTCAGCAACAATGCAAATGACAGGAGTTTGGTGAGGTGAAAAACCTGCAGTTACCTCACAAGGTGATGGTGACCTTTGATATTCTTTCACTTTTACAGATGTGGTTTGTTACTGAGCTCAATGATCCAGAGAAATTGGATCTTTTCACTGCAATGATCATTCGGACTCCATAAAACCTCAGTTTAAATATTCTGTTAAGAGAGGTTAAATGACTAATTAAGAAGATTCTTTGAAATGATTCAAATAGATTTAAAACAACCTTAATTGTAATTCAGTGGGGTAATTTAGCAAACTGGCAGATAAAAGCATGCAGGGTCACACAAAGGTAAAACTATAAAAACAACAAAAAAAGAAACAGTACAGCAAGGACAAATTTAAATTCAATGAACTTCAGTATTTATGGCTCATTTTCATACTTTCAATGGTTTTTCAAAAAGTTATGCAAAGAATTTCAGCAATTCTAAAATTCTTGGAAAGTTAAATAACCATAAAAAAACCGATTTTTTTTTAAATAGAATTTATTCTTATGAGTTCCATGAAATTAAAATTAGAGATGAATTCATTTCAAAGCCAGGAGTCCTTTAAATTTAAAAGAAGGGATTTTTGTGAGACAAAGGAAAGCATTAGCAAGAACGTTTTTTTGAAATGGCAACAAAAGGCTGCAGGTGAGGTTGAAAGTTGAAGATCGTGTGCAGGTGTCATCACTCTGAAATGAATTGATGTTTCTTGCATTGTTAACGGACCTCACAATGATTCAGTCGACTCACAGCAACAGAGTCGAGGGTAAAAAAAAAAGTACATCCACTTAGTAGTCAAGAGTTTTACATAGAGCATTCTGAAAATAATTAGGTCTTCATAAAGTTTGAAAATGTTTTACATCAAACTGTGTGTAAAAAATAAATTAAAAAAAAGTCAGATTTCCCACCGACATTATGAAACAAAACGTTTTCTGTACATAGGAAAATCAAGTGCACTCTTCCTGCCTTCATAGGATTCTACAGCACATTTGTAGATTGGACTAAATACTAAATACTTACACAGTGAACAAGATAAATATTTAACTCTCTAGTTAATTAGCATACTGACTATTTATCGCCGGGTCTGAGATAGTTGATGTTTAGCTAGCTATTAAAGAAAGGGGCTGCACACCTTTATGGGGAACAATCATTGTATGTAAATACCTGGCTTCAACAATACATGGAAATGTTTGTTATAACAAATTAAGATATAAAGAAGGAAAGAACCAAACACTTTACAGAAAAGAAATTATAATTCACCATCATTTTTGCACCATCCAGAAATTCAAGCAATTACCGACTGACCTTCATTAAACACGAATATCTTTTGGTTTTTAAGACATTCCATCTACTTCTGTGAAGAGGTAGAGTAGAATAAGTGCACCAATAAGAGGTTATTTTAAATATATAACCATCCACATCTTATTTAAAGGGCCGACTTTGTGGCACAGACACTGTTATCCAAAAAAGCAGTAAGGAGGCATTCAGACATTAATTCCTAGACAGTTGAATAACTTGACATACAGTTCTTTGTTGAGGTTCCAGGAAAACACACACACACACACACACACACACACAAAGTAACTGACGTTTTAAAGGGCAGAATATTAAATAAAAAACATTCTCTACCCAATTTTCAAAGTTTGCAGCGTTTGGTTTTTTTTTTTTAAAGCAGCTAGCAACAATCTTAGTGAGTTTTTCTGTAGTTTTAGGGAAAAGCAGGCCGACTGACCGGCTTGCCAGATGGGATTCTGCAACTAGTAAAAAAATAATCACTAAATACAATTTACGCTATCTTCTTCTGTCTCCTTCCATCTTCTCCTTAACTCTCCTCCTCCCCCTCCAATCCGCTCCATACTTTGAATGTTTCATGTTTTACTTCATAGAACAGATTCTGCATTATATTCCTGCCATATGAAGCTAAAAGTGGCTAAGTTTACATGGAGCTGGTTTTCAGAGAAACCACATCATCTTTGTTGCAACCCAGCCACTTGTTTACACATCACCAGTGATCAGAGTCCCTGACCCGGCATAAAAAAAAAATAAAAAAAAACAGGTTTTGGAGGAAAACTTTTCAGGAACACCTCCGGTGAAGATGTGAAGCTCTCCGCAGGTGTGAAATGGCACATGTGCCAAACGCATAAGTTCGGGTTAAAGCGCATATCAACAAAAGCTAAAATCACAACGCCATGGAGTGGCCTGGCATGACAGTTACAGCAGATTCTAGGTGTTTTGGCAGTAGGTCTCATCAAAACCTAGAGCTTTTCCTCCAATCAAAATCCAAAAACACTTTCAACATCCAGACAATAAACACAGCCTTAAACATTTGTCTATGTCATGAAATGAATATGGCAGAAGGCAAACAGGCATTCTTTACTGGTTTGGTAGAAGGTCAAGCCTCCTTCTTTCAAGTTAAAGTTAGACTCTTGTTACATAGTGCTAGTCAAGTAGCTAACTCCACCTGGATCTCTTGAAGAAAGTTTAGCTTCCGTGCGATGTGAATCCTCTAGATTTAGAATTCAGTGTTCGACATCAAGTTGAGAAACAGCAAAGACACCAAGAGTCCAAACACTGAGCTATTACAATGTTGTGTAACTGTAGAGTTAACATGGAGGCTTTGCAGAGCCTTTCTTCCAGTCCGTTGCTGTCTGGTTTGTTTTCTTTTTTGTCACAGCATGGTTTGTTAAACGGTTTCTGACCTCAGGCTGTCAGGAAGTAAGGGGCCAACCACAAACTGCCCTGTGGTGGACCACATCCAGCCAAATCTGTGTCCATGTGTGGGTTTGTGTGCTATGGAGACATGTTGTAGTCATGACATAACTGTGAACTTCATGATCTTTCTATCGTAATGTAAGAGTCTTTGTATTATTTAAACGTTGGCCTTAATCACTTGTTCTTCACAATTTTCTAAGGTTTTTTTTGGGGAAACTTGCTGCTTTTTATTCTGGTTTTCTTGTACCTGACCATGACATTAAATTTTGCAAAGTGTGCTTCAGGGATGGAACGGAAAATAAAATATGACGGATGCATCATTTCTCTGTAGTATATCTACCACATGGCAGGTTGTCAGGTATAGTTATGAAAGTGTAAAAAAAAAACACTTAACAGATTCCATTGTGTTATTACTGATTAGGCAAATAACTAGTGAAAATAGAAAAGCTGTGTGTGAACAACAAAATATGATTGAGGAATTTGTAAATGTGACAATAAGTTAAAACTGTTTTTCTGTCCATCAGTCTTTTACATCATAATGAAGGATTTCAGTCAGTCTTCTGTACAAAAGTTGTGGAGCTGTCTGAACAGTTTTTTGTAAATTAGTGAATATAATGACCCATTGCTTTGCAACTAAAAGTATTCTCAATTGTATTGAATAATTAAAAAGCATACAAAAGTGCAAAGGTGATTTTTATTTTACAATTTGCTAAACTGTCTTATTTACGGTATTTTGTCACAGCTTCTGCAGATCAAAGGGTAAAAAAAACCCTGTCATGCTTATTGCAGCACAAGTGAAGATAACTTGAGAAAATAGCGTTGTCCCATTAAAGCTGCCTTAACACACAACATGGTTTAAGGTTTCTTGATGCTTCACATCAGAATTTACCAGAAACTGAACTGCTAGCAGCCTTTTTGTTCCTCCATGTTTGTTTTAATCCAACCATGAGCATTGCATTAGTCATTTCCAAAAGCATAAAAAAAATATATTTTTTATTTGGTCATCTGATTTGTTTTTTCTGTTTACTTTTGCTCAGAACTGTACATGACATGGTAGTAAATGAGTCTTTACTTTGTGTTTTATCTGTTAAAGCAAGTTAAACCTTTAACAGAAAACATCCTGTATAAACTGTGATGCTTCATTTTCTCCTTGTTCTGCAGCCCCAGTCTGGTGGTTATATTTACACACTACGGAGAAAGTTTGATTAGAAATAATTTGTTCATTTTTGCTGCTATAAAATGGGATGTTGGGATAATTTGGTCCATCAGATAAAGTCTAATGTCAGCAAAAACGCTTCCCCCCGTACACAAGTCAGCAGTCATGAAAATAGATTAAACTTTCAAGAGTCAGCATCTGTTTGTTCCAGCTTGAAGGTGATAAATAATGAAGGGGGAACAAAAAGAATCACGGTAAGCACGGAGACAAGAGACCCCAGCTGTTCGGAGACCACTGATGATGCTTGCTGACCGTCACAAAGTGCTGGCCTTTCTTTACACCCACGTTTATGTGGCATCAGCTGAAGCTAATACTTAGGGATGCATGAGTACACAGCCAAGATCCAAACACACCTCACTCTGGAACAAAAGTTGGAAGAAAACACAAAACTAAACATGTGGATACATTTTTTTCCCTCCCCTGAGCGGAGATGTTAGACTATAAATATTAGGTAGTCTGTAGTAGACTCTCAAAAAGGACTGCTGGAATCTGGATTTGACTTCACAACTTGAAACTTATTGAGTAAGGGTTGATACGTCTTTCATTTCACGATGTCAGAACCAGCAGATAATGTTCAGCGGTCCTCGTCATGGCTGCTGTTTGCCCTCATCCTTCTGTTGTGCAGCGAAACCTTGGAAGCTTCTGTGTACCGCCAAAAAGGTAAGACACCTCACTTTTCTTCCTGGCAGCAATTAATCAAAAGCGTGTAAAGCCCTGCCGTAGCAGGAGTTTGAAGCGTTTAATCAACCACAGCGTCAGCAGTTGAAGTGGCTCAAAATGCCTGACGACAAACTTTCGTCCGCTGTAGTCTGACCTTGCATTTGCGCCTCTTGGGGCTCTTCGCAACAGATTAGTGCGCTTCCTTTGACCTCCCTTTTCAAGGTGACAAACCGCATATGGAAAGCTTTTCACAGCCTTCAGGCATGGGAGAACTTACAGAGGACGCTGAGTTTGGCCATTAGCATGGATGACCTCTCCCAGCGACTTATCGCATCCTTCACTGAGAGGGCAAAGTAAAAGTCCTCCCGGTGGAACATGTGTAAAGTACATTTTCACCTATCTTGGTTGTACCTTTGGATTCCTCGATATGACTTCACTCCAGATCAAACAGTAACGCAACTGTGGGGCTTGTTTTCTCCTCAGGTATCTGTTCGTACAAGGATAAGCTCTTCAAACCTGGGGATACCTTCAGGAGAGGCTGTGATAAGTGCTTCTGTCATGAGTTTGGATTTTACTGCTACTCGTGAGTAGATTATCCCTGTCTTTGGTTATTATTTGTTCATTTTACAAAGCTTAGCAACTCACAAGTGCTTGTTGCCTTTTTACAGGCCGATGAAACCTACCTCATGGCCGAAGAAGTGTCATCGGGTGCGGACAGACTGCGGCTATATGGTCGTTTACAAAGAAAACCCACTGGTGGAGTGCCGCGCCTACAGCTGGATTGGTTGATATAACAGAGAAAAACCAAACAATGTTCATGTCTCATTACTTTTTAGGTCTGTCCAACAGACTTGGGCATTTTACCTTTGATGATGTAGAAGATTTTAGTGAGGGCACTACTTGATGTACAAATGAAAACCGTTGGTTAAGCAGTTGAACCAAAGTTGAGGGGCCTTAGAGTGTGACGTAGAATTCTGTGCTTTCTCCACCTGCTTTGGTTTAACTCTGGAGGATGAAATTGATAAGTTTTCTCAGTCAAAGACATTAGACACAAAGTCACATCCGCAGTGGATTTATTAGCCAGGCTTCATCAATCGTGTCCTCAACCCACTTCGTCATAAAACACCAATAATCAATATAAAAGATTTAAACTGTGGTGGTACATATGCTTTCATTAAGCCCTTGTACAACTGATTTAGTCAAGTCATTGCTGCTGCTGTTTACTATATGTAAAGCTGAACAGTTTAACATGGATTGCATGGTGTAAGAGATGCAATGACAGACAGAACTAAAAGAGGCTAAACCCAGAATGGTATTTCAAGTCAATCTGACAAAGTTTAATCTCAAGAATATCATGCAATATGAAACGGATTCAGACTGACAGTGGGTAAAAAGATATTTAAGCTTATTTAAATTCCATATTAAGATAATTGTCTTTTTATTTTATTTTACTTTCAGTTTGTTTACTTTTGGCTGGTGGATGTCCAAGTCAGGGTCTTTTGTTGGTTTTACTGCTCAGTGATTTGCAGGAACAAACTCCCAAACATTAAAACCAACAGTTCTGAAAGGCAGGAAAACCACCGAGCATTTCTTCAGTATTTTGTGATTGTTCCCCACTAAACTCACTCCCTGGTGTGGTTCTGTCCGTTCATTTTAACAGCTAGAAACTAACTTGTTCCTGCTAAAAGTGCTTTTATGTTAGACAGTTTGAGTTTGCTATAGTGCTACGCTAACATATGCAGTTTTGATTGAAGTCCAGTCAGTCGTTTACTTTTTTAACGTCTTAATATAACCATTTTTTAAGCTGCACTCTATGAAGCTGACAGAAAGCTGCCACAGCCAACAGTCTCTCTTACTGCTAATGTTTCAGAAACCTGGCATGTAAAAAGATACCGATCATTTAAAAGTGCCTTCACTGGCAACGTTAAGATACCTAGAATCAGATCGAGACATTTCTTCAATTGTCAAGTTCTGAAATAGAACTTTTAAAGACTGACGATATTTAGTCATTTTTAACATTTTATGGTTTAATTTATTTCTTATGCATTCATTTTATGGATACTGATGAACGTTAATTGTGAAATGTATTTTCCTTGGACTCCACTGTACTAAATATCAAACGTCCACATGTACTTTCTGCCTTAATTACATTACAATAAAATCTTTGTTCATTTTACTTGTTATTTTCATGTCTTAGATTCTAAAAATACTCATCATAGCTCCTCTAAACATTTTTCTGTTGATGGATGTACAACTTCAATCCCATTTCCTCCCCACTCATATTTCTGGAAACCATAAACAAGCAAAGTTTTTCTCTCTGCATTTATGTATTAAACATCTTAATGTGAATTATGTTGCAGTTATATTTAAATGTGTTTCTTCTGATAAGCAGATTCTAAATTAATTAGTTAATTTAAAAACAACACATGGGGTAGATTTAAATGTAGGTATTTAGTATAAAAATGTGAGAGCTTGCAAAATCTGACTTGGCTGATTATTATGGTGGCAAAGTGCTTATAAACGATCGTTGGTATGTGTGGAACATTCATCATCTAGCAATAGGATGAAATAAGTTTGGAAGCAGTTTAAACAAGAATTAGCAACAGCAGTCTAAAAGAGATTCATGTTTTTTTGAAACGTATACACTTATGATTATGTGATGATTTTACCACCAAGCAAAAATCACGTCTTTAGAACCGTTTTGTGTAGACCTCTTATCCAACTTGGCTAGCTTACAAAGGTTGTGTGCTAATTTGTCAGTTTGATATGGAATATGAAATATTCAATAAACCTAAGCAATCATAATTTGGACTACATTGGCTGATTTGGATTTAGTCAACTGAATATATTTCAAAATGTCTTTACATGTCACCCCACTGACCTACATTAAATACTTCTGATACTGGCGGTAGCAGACATTGCTGCATGTGTTGCCAGCGTTATGCTTTCTGCCTGTTCTCCTTTAGGGGATATGTCACAATTCAGTCACAAAAGGCACACATATCATATGTGTGTATATTTTACATGATAATTGCAAACTCACTGCTGTATTCTGGAACATTTGCAATAATTTAAAAGTTCAGATGTTTTGTAACCTGGTGAAAACCAGCTGGTTCTACTCTTTGCTTCGTAAAGAAGGTCTCGGCTCTTGAGAAACGATCGCTTCCTGATAGACATTTTGTGAGAATATATCAAGAAGCTAACACAGACAACAGCGTTTGACAATTGCAGACTAAAATTCACTCAGTCATTTAGCATTATTTCATAAAACATGTCAGTGGAAAATCTATTGCTTTGCTGTAAAACCGCATTTAAATAAAAAACCTTTAATAAGAACATTTAATAAAACGGATGAATGAATACCTTTTGATGGTCATGACAGTTCAGGCTCAAGCCTATCAGTGTAAAGACAAAGATTTTTAGGACTCTTGAACAAAATTCAGGGAGAATAAAGAAAACGAGAGAAAAAAAAAGCCTAAAGTGCTTATGAAGCTCAAGTGGAGAAGATGTTCTGTCTGATGCTAAATAAGTGCAGCAGAAATTCACCAAATGTGAAAATTTAAAGATGCCCTGAAACCGCCGAGGTCTTGCTGCTAAAAGCATCTGGCTGTGAGAACTTTCCATGGCCTTTAGGCCCACAGGGTCTTCAGGAGGTTAACTGGAGGTCAACCATGGGTGTTGAAGGCACTGTGCAGCAGTTGCCCGTCTCTCTGTGTGATAATCCAGCATATGGAGAAGGAAGTTTGAGAATTCAGAGGCCTCTTCTAGCAGAAAGTTATATTTCTCCACCAGAACGTCATAAAGTCTCCACGGCCTCACTGGATCAACACGACGGAGATTACCTGCACAACAATATGCAGTGAAAAAACAGGTTTTATTTTAAAAATTGAGCTAAACTTTAGTTTGAAGAAGAAGAAGGTGTGGTTGTACCTCTTCGGTCGAAGTATTCAGCTGAATGTTTGCCTGAATGGAGAACTTCTGGAGGAATTCTGCCAAGGAGCTCAACGATTTGGCCGATGTGGTCTGAGGTGGACGGAGGCACCACAAAGGTTACGCAACACGCACAGTTTCAGGACAAATTAGCATCTCCAGCTACAATGAAGGCGTGCGATAATCCCATTTAATCCCGTGTCGGTGCGTGCCTCCTCTCTCCGTTAGTGTCAGCTCGCTGAATTAAACCCACCTTCCTCCAGGGACATGAACTCGCCAGCTTTGGGGTGGAACAACGAGTCTCCAGTGACCAACTCGAAGGCCTGGGAGAATCCAGGGGAACATTCAGGGTCACATGTGTGGCTAGTTGAAGAGCCATTCCAACCTGTGACACTGCTTTCTGTTTTTTAAACCAAACTAAACAGTTTCACAAAACATTACTTTCCTAATCTAGTATTAAATATTAGCTAATGGTTGCTATGGCATTAGCAACCATTGCGAAAGTAAACACAAGTAAAAATCACAGCTGAGCACTGAGGTTCTCCATAGTTAGTAACACCTAGTGGGTATTTAATGTCAACCGAAATGTATTACCTGAGAAAAACATCTTATTTAATACTTTAACTTCAGTTGTGATTAATACATTTTAAGATTCAATTGATATTTAAACCCTGCTATGAACTCCCACAAATGAAAATACCAAAAGTTCCCAAAAAGATATTAGTTCTAGAGAGTAACATGAAAAAAAAAATTGCTTGATGAAGCAAAGCAGACATCATCAAACTGTGGTCAGCTGGTATCTCACCATGCAGGCCACACTCCAGATGTCAGCTGGCGGACCGTACTCAGATCCAAGCAGGACCTCTAGAGACCGGTACTGACGGGTCTGGATCTCCTCACTGAAGTGCTTGTACTGGGTCAGAACAGTGAAGGACAAAACAGTCAGACAGGACGTCAGAAAACAACAAATATGCCAGCATGACTTTTAGAGTTGTGTGTATAGTTTTGAACTTTCAATACGTTAGTGTTTTATATTATGAATATTTATAAAAATGCTGAGCATTTTAATAGATATTTTGAAAAAAAAGTCAACTATTTTGTGGCCACTAGGGGTCAGCAGACAGCTGTTTAAAGATAAAATAGACATATTTGTAATTATGGGGTAAACCTCAAGTGGAAGAAAAGTGTGAGCTAGTGAAGACAGATAAAGTGGAGCACTAACCACCCAGCAGGAGCTTCCCAAATCAGCAATCTTCACAGAAATCTCCTTTAACTTGTACAGGCTCACTTCCTCTGTCTCTAAAATAGTTAAACACATTAGCATTGAACTCAGTTCAGTTTAGATAAATAACTGCTTTAATATTTAAAGCAGAGTAAAAAAAAAAACTATTTGAGTCAGTTTTTTCCCTCTTGGTGATATATTACATTTTGTTTTTTAAATATATATGTTACTGATCTGCAGATGACAAACTTTCTATATCTGAAGCCTGTAAACAAGTAAACAACTGTGCCTGTGGTCTTGTTCCCCTCTACAGCTGGTAAAGAGACGGAGCTGCTGCCCCCTGCTGGTGTAATATGGCTGTGCTCCTTCGGGTGCAGCAGAATGTTTTCTGGCTTAATGTCTGTGTGGATGATCTTACATCGAGTGTGAAGATAGTCCAAGCCCTGAAGAACCTGCAGAGAAAGGGAGAATTCAGAAAAGACTGATCAAACAAAAACTCCTTTATCATTTGTAGCACCAACTCGTTGCTTTTCTTGAAAATGGTCACAAAAAAAAGTTAGATTTTTATTTTAAGCTAATAATTGTATATAAATGCAGTCACAGGTTACTTTGGTTTTGTGTTGCTTACCTGGGTGAGTATTTGCTTGACCCAAGGCTGCATCAGGCCTGGATTCCCCAAACAGAGCTGCCAGGTCCTGAGGCTGGGCCCCAGCAGCTCCAGAACCAGGCACAGGTCTCATCATCCCAGGCTAAGGACAGTTTGATAGGGTGCCTTCACAACAACAAGTCTGGTTCTAGAATGTACAGTCCATCTCTGATGTGACTGGTTGAAGTGAACTCTGGTGCGGTTCAAATATGAAAAAAATGTGACTCCACTCTAGATTTAAAAGTGAACTGTACCAGCTAAATGTTGTATTAAGTTTTCAACTAAAGGTGTGAAAACAACCATAATCTTCATGCTTACACAACAACTCATCTGGAAGCAGGATAATACTGAACACAGAGTCCACACTTTACAATTTGGCCCTCACTATACATCCTCCGTACCTAAAGTTCAGAAAGCTAAGTGAAACAAACAAAGGATACGGACCCCATTGACCCCAACCAGCTTGAATTCATCAAGCAGCTGAACGATCCTTTGGCTGGAGGGGTGACGGCTAACAGGACTGCTGGACTGATCAAAGAGGGACAGGAGAAAAGGAACGGTGAACAGTAAGACCGGAAGTTGTGTTTTCGTGTTGCCATGCACATGCAGACACCAACAAGAAGAGGCTGGAAGCAGAGCTAACGTATCGTAGAAGAGCCTGTTCATCCTGTCCCGCCTGAGCGAAGCCTGCGCCGCTCTTCAGGACCTTCACAGCAACCCTCCGACCCGACCTGCCAACACAAACACCACAGCATTCTGGTTTTTATTAGCTGTGGACAAAAATGTGGAAAATATCAATTGAAAGTCTGAAAGTCAATTCAGGGACTTGCAAAGAGTGGTTGAAGTTCTTCCCCTTTCGTCACAACACAAACACAAACTTTAGTGTGCATCTTTGGGATTTAATGTGACAGACACAAAGCAGTGTACACAAAGTGTTACATGGAGGCAAAAGAAAACAGTTCCTGGAGGACTATCCAGATTCCCCCTATGACTATGCAAATCATGTGTAAAGCACATGACTCGCATACAGAAGTATGAGACTCATGTGCTTTACCTTTGTGCCACTGCTGTGCCCCACCCTAATAGTTTTACTCTTTCCTCTCCTAAACTAAACTCACCTGAGGTCCATGCAGAGCCACACTGTGGAGAAAAAGCCCCAGCCAAGCTTAGACACCACCTGGTATCTTCTGTTCAAAGAGTCGCCAATCTGGACAGGGTGGTAACCACCTGCAGTAATAACATCCAGGATTAAACACAGGACCATACAGCAATACCCAGTAGGAACATGGCAACAAATGTCTCCCAAAGTAATCTGAATATTAAAAAAACAGGCAGGAAGCCATTTTCACATAGCTTTGGAGAGCTCCTGCAATTTCTGGCCTAGCGTCGTCCTCAGAAGCCCTTCCATGATCGTTTGTGAGTAACATGCTCAGACCTGCCTGCAGGACACTGAAGCAAGATGATGAATAATCCTGTTTCTGTCCTCCTTTAACCTGAACAATGCACAGCATGCTGAGTTTTGTTTTTATTTCTAACAATCTCAAATAAATTTGAATTGGATCCCAGAACATGGCATGAGCTAGTGTGTCATTTATGACTGCGTCAGGCGTTTGTCATATCTTGCAGACAGCAGTGCTGATACCTGCAACACAGAGGAGCACGGAGCGAGGCCAGGTGGAAAAACATGCAGATTGAGGCATGAAAGTGAAGGATCAGTAGCGAGAACCTATCAGAAGTTAACCAAGCAGTATTGGTCATCTGTGGTTTACAGTAAGAATGATTTACAGTAAAACCGAAACCTTAGAAAGCTCTGCAGCACAACTTATTCTCAGACCTGGTTCAGATCACACTGCCTGTGTAATCCGGCTTCATGATGGTGGCATAGTGTTGCGCTCACATGTTTTGCATGTTACAGTGCTCTTCTGATGCACATATTAATTTCAGATCAGTGCATGTGCACTACACATACCGTAGCGGTATTCTCTGGGGTCTTCACAGTCCTGACTTTCCGTCGTATAGAGCTGATTGGGTTCTCCAGCTGTTCCAAAACACCCAGATGAGCCAACTCTGTTCCTAAACAACACAAAACAACACAAGACAGCAAAACACTGGAGTCTTTTAGCCTCGTCTTCATTCTACAGGTAAGTGTTTGTGTGTCAGTGATGAGTTTCCCCAGTGACCCTCTGCAGTGGGAACTCGTCCTGCTGCCGGGGCCTCAGAAAAAAATCTGCCGTGCCGGAACTTGAACTATTTCTGACTGCTGTAAATCATTTTGCTGTCCGTCCGTGCAACCCGAGAGCTCGCTGTCCCAGCTGCTACCAACACGAAAGCGCACTGCGTGGATGGAAGGCCTCTGGTCACGTCATGTCTGGAAATAATCAGTGCAACTTTGTTCTCTAGTTTTGAAGCATCCGGTTGTAAAAATAAATATATTTTTCACATTCTCTACAAGATAAGCAGTTGTCTAAAGCTCTAAATAAGTCACTTCCCTATAATACACCTGATCTGTCTGTGTTGAAATGTGTTTCTTCAAGCTTTATTGGTATGAGATGAAAGGTTGAGTTTTTGTTCTGAACACAAGCCCGCTTGAAAGGAAACTATTTATCGGTGCATAAGTCAGTAATCTGTCTGACCAAGAAAATATTCCAACATGGAAATTTAACATCATAATTTATGAAAACCATATTCCATAATTGGTGATTTTGTATAATCCTGCAGTAAAACTCAAAGACAACATGCAGCTGAGGAGCAAGAATATACTCACATGTGACGTTGCATGGCGATCGGGTTTTGGATCTCAGTGTCTAACCCTTAAAGTTGTTGGTGGAGATGGAAACCTGGTTTCACGCTGAGACCACAGCCAAATGACCGGTGCTTTCACCTCTGATGCCACAGCAGATAAACAGAGCAGGTGAAGGTGGGGGCTAGGAGCAGCAGCCAGAGTCAGCACGATCCAAACATGGAAATGTCCTGCAGGCACTGAACTCACCATCCACCAAGCCTTCATCTGGCTGCTGCCAGGTTTCACTCCCTCCATCTTTCCTGGCTGGATTTAAACGTGAGGAAAGTCAAAGAGGAATGAGAGAAGAGGAATAAGGTCAACAGACTTGAGAGAGCGGGGGCAGCTGGCGAGTTTTTCTTTTTGCTCTGGTCTCATGGGAAGGTTGACCTGTGGGCTAAACTTGGCTTCAAAGCAGAATCTCCGACCTCTGACACAAGATTAAGTATCACAATGAAGTCAGGAGGAAGAAGGTTGCATGAAACGTTCCTTCTGGTTTCTATTAGAATTTGAGAGGTTTTCTATATTTTATGCCACATACATTCAAATGGAGATTACAAAATGCTGTAGAGTAAATAAAACTTCTGTGAAACTAAAAAGGTATACATTTCAAGCCTCCGCAGAATTATATTTACATTACCTTAAAAATGCATCCTTACCTTTTGACAGAGAGATCACCTATTTATTGGCCAAAATTTGGGAGATTGGTTATCGGCCGATATTTCCAGATGGAACCGATCACATCTACCTCTGCATACGTCTGAAAATCAGCCACTGTCCCGTTTCCTGCTGCTGTGACAGAGGGCTGACCGACAGACCCGCCCATCAGGTCACAGCTGTATGTATACCGTGAACAATAGTTGCTGTTGCCAACTTGTCAATTTTGTCGAGATATTTAGTGACTTATTAGACAAAAAAAAAAAAAATGGATAAAAATCTGTATTGTTTTAAGAAGATTAAATGAAACAAACTGTCAGAACAACAACTAACCTGTTTGTATCTGGTACTATCAATACTTTAAAACAAGCAGGTGCTATATAACGTTTTTTAAATCTGTGTTGGTTACTCTTCTGACTTCACAGGTTAGAATTCTGTTGTAGATGGGCGTTGAAGTCGACTTTTATAATTTGGAAGTTAGAAATTCTGACTCTGCTGTAAAAATAAATTGCAGCCTTGCTTCGTTTGTGAAGCTGATAATTTTGTACAATTTCAATAACTTGTTATAGAGTGATTCTGGGCATGTGGGTTTATTTAAAGAAAAAAAAAACATTAGCAAAAAACAAAATGTGCAACCATTAAGGAATGGAAACAGCAGGAACTATCTGAACAGAATGAATTATTTTGCTGCTGACGACTGCAGTTGTTTTGACCAAATTTTGTACATGGGATCAAAGTTTTGTTGACTATTATGAAATACAGGAAAAGAGCAAGCTGGACATGAACCATGTACAGTGGGAAATAACCAGGAACTACTGAATTAGCTAAAGCATTAACACTGTATAAGACTGTACTGTTATTATACAGAGTTAGACATTCGTGATGTAGCATTTGATCTGCAAATGCAGACAAAAAATCTTTTTTCAGTGGAAAGCAAAAGAAATGAGAAGATCCAGGAAGGTTTGAAAATGAGATTTTCCCTCTGGGCTGTAAAATCGCAGCATCTCATTTGAATGCAGTTTTAACGACAAAAATAAAAAGACTTTAAGTTGTTCTCCCTCAGCTGTTCCACTGGCACTGACAGTGCATTACTGTGTAGGTGTTTATTCCCATCCCCATTTATGTCCACAACTCTAATGAAGGGCCAGGCCTGAGCCTGTAGTGCCTGGGACCATTTTCTTTTTCCAGAGGGTTGTAATAAGACACCTTCTGCAGGACAAGGACATGAACTTATTTTTCATGGATGTAAGGCCAAGAAATCAGCACGGATCAAAATCCACGCAGTGTTGGATGGATCATGAAGTCTCTGAGCATTTTTAAACTTCTGATGGAACTTACACATAAATATTCTAAAAAGCATTTTGTGTGTATTTTATTGGGATAGACTAACAAATTGAATTGGCACTACATGAACAAAATAAATAGGCTTTGGTCTGGACTATTCTATTGTTGTTTTGCTATGAAAGTTTAATAGTTTCAGTGTATAGTAAGTTTCTTTATCCTTAAGTTCCTTCAGTCAGTTAAAATATCATGATAATATTAGTCAAAATTGCAATGCGATAAATTCCCTTCTTTCTTACATTAGTATTTTGGGAAACATTGTTTGTGTTCAGTATGAAACTAACTTGTTAAATATCACATTAGCATAAAAATGCAAATTTGTAACACTTGGACTACATCAGCCAACAATTATCCCACTGCAAACAGTTCATTACAATATGAATATTGCACAAACTGATACTGTGATGACAATATTTACCATTTTAATACATCTACAACATTAATAAATATACAACTGAGCTTCTTAAGAAAGAAAAAGTGCAAACAAACCTACAACGTGTACATATGAATCACTTTATTGCATCAAATTAAGCTGTTGTTAGGTTCATCCTATCAGTTAGTCAGAGAAAGCTAAGAATTGAGATTACTGGGTAACAGTATGTATCTACAGAACACACATCAGAACTGCTTACACATAATCTGCAGGCAACATTAATGTGCATGGTAAAAAAAATGAAAAAGATTTTATGTACAAGGTAACTGCTTGCAGCAATGTAAAATCATAATCTCCAACTACCTTATAAGGTGGGGAAAAAGAGTGAAAAGCTGATTCTGACTTGATCCATTACGGTTCTCTGAGAGCAACAAAACACGGCACAAAACGGTAGGACAGAGCTGCTTTCCTACGACAAAAACAAGAATCTGAATTAGTGAGACGCGACAAACACAGGTTTGTAGGTCTGACAGGAAAAAAGACCAACAGCATAAGCAATAAAATAAATAAACAATAAATTAAAATTGAAAACGACAACTAAAAGCCTTCCAACATGTGGCATCGCGGAGCAGGAGGCACATCGTTTAAAATCCTACAGGTTGAATTATTCACAAGATAAAAAGCTTCGCTCTGCCACCAGACTGCTAAAACCTGACAGCCACTTTGACAGCAACAACAGAAATGTTAACTAAAGGAAAAAAAAAAAAAAATGGCACAGCTGACTTGTCAGTTCAGACATAGAAAACAACAGATGAGCTCTTTGATGTACAGTAGTAACAAAAGTAGATGAGAGGTGGTTCATTAAAATAAAAAAGCCCCCTCCCACCCAAAATACAATGGAAATCCATCAAAAAGAAGAACACAATGAATAAAATTAGTGCAAGTAATGCAACCGAATGAAATTTTGAAATGCGCATGTAGAAAAGATTTGCAAAAACACAGAGAACCAACGGTATTAATTATTTTCAAACTTCTACAGGATTTTAAACATGTCAATATTTCCTTTTTTTTTTCTGCATCATCATATGAGCTTTGGGAAAATAACTCAGAGTGAACTGGAATATAAATTCAGAAGTTGACATTGAATATCAAACTAATGTGTTGAGATGCACCAATCAGAGATCTACAGCTGATTTCTGATCTCTGGATTTTTTTTCTGTAAAAAGCTAATTCTATGTGTAAATTCTATAGAATGTGGGTTCCTACTAAAACCTTTCCAGGTGGTTTTGCTCCTTCTCACAGCTGTGTTCCTTTCTAGATAGCATTTCTATACTACACCTAGTTGTGCACCTTCAGTCAGTAATGGTTAACACACCGAAGAGCGTTCTCAGTGCGTTCACTGACTAGAACAAGATCAGATTTTTAGGTTTCAAACAGGGTGGTGCAGATGAAAATCATCTCCACTGCCTGTAAAAATGTGTCAGGATTTTTTTTCTTGTCTTTTCTCAGTGTCAATCTGTTTCTGAGGGAATTCCATCAGTCACAGCAGTTCTTTTACTAATTTTGTGTTCTTCATTTTACTTATAAAGAACCCAATTTATTCACTTAAATTTAGGTGTTTAGTCAAAATGATCAAACTTATGTTGAGCAATTCAAACAAGGCAGATGATTACAAAATTTACATCGACATTAGAGAAGATGACCCAAAATGTTGTCTTTGACAAAGTAAGGAAAACAAACCCACAGCAGTCCTTCCTGTAATGTAATCCAGGCAGCCACAGCAGACAAGTAAAAACAATGTGTAAAAAAATCCAGAAAATTTTAGGGTAAGACTTTGAAGGCCTTAAAACAGGGAGAACAAGTCATTATGTGTGCATCCTGTATGTAAGACTTGGAGAGAAAAATAAAAATGTTCCAACAGCGTCAACATTTAGGGTAAAATGTACCTTTTGGAATAAAAAGTGAACCTTGATGGGTGGGAATGTTCTGCTCGGTTTGTCCAGATAAACAAAGCAAATGATGTTTTTCATGAAGCGTCTTTCCCTCCAAGAGTTACATCCAAAGAGGAAAACCAATAATGCAAAATGTTTCGATGTGTCCTTCATTCCACATTCTTTTCACATTTGTCCCTCGTTATTGAAGTGGCGTCCCTTTCCTCCCAGAGAGAGAACCACTTACATCACCAGTATGTCAACGCCAGTCTCCGTCTTCACGTAAAACCAGCCCGTCCAGCAATACCACAGTTCAGGTCACAATATTTCTTTGTCTTCTTTTGTATTTAGATAAAAATAACTTTTTTTTTTGTCCAAGAGAAACCACAGACAGGTACTCCTAACGATGCCTTCCCTTTATGAGTCGAGACAATATTTCCTCTGGTGCCGGGGTCATAGGTCTGTTACCTTGTTTTCAACGGCAGCAGCGATCTGTTGGAGTCTGTAACCGAGCTGCATCTTTTGAGCTGTAGCATCCTCTTCCAAAGCTGTGATAATCTGACAAAGGAAGCAAAGAGTCGATGAGAAAAACAGGAAAAAACAGATGGTTAATAAACCAGAAAGCAGCATTATGTCACATATTTGCATAGCCTTCATTTATATGGTTGATTTATAAAACCACGTATAAACCATTCATATATTTCATTTCTGCCTAGAGTACAAAAACTGTTTCAAAATAAATCCCAACCAACAATAAATTCAAAAAATGTTAAAAGAATTGCTGAAAGACACTTAATCACTTAATTTATTTCTGAACTTAAAGTTCAGAAATAAATTCTGCATCCTGGACAAGCCCTCAATAATTTTATGACCAGCCTGATCAGTGGTGAGCTTGTTGCCCTAAACCTAAAGCATGAAAAATAAATATTAGTTCTGCTGGTGCTGAAGAGCTGAACCAACACGATATTTAGTGAAGCTAATGCTAAAGCACCAGTATCACCCTCAACAAGGTCAAATATGTTAGAGCACATCAA